GCACAATCCCCACAGGGTGGGAGTAGGACAAGCAGAGAACAGTTAAGGCTGCACCCCTGGGTTGGGACAATTTGGGCTTTAAATATTCTGTATCTGTCGCTAATAGAATATAGAATAGAGCTGGTAGAGGAGCAGATGGGTGACCAGGAGCTTCTGGGTTGTTGATTTCAACTATCTCAAATAGGGCAAGAGGACTGAGGAGAGTGGCAACCATGGATAAAAGAGAGGGATGCAAGCATAGATTCAGAGCTGATAGAAAGTGACAAGCAACTTTGTTGCAAGTTCCAGAAGACATAACAGTACCAAAATATTTTCATCTCACAGGTGTGGATGTGAAGGTAGGTTTGCGTTTCTTGATTCTGAATGTGGATCACAGGGAAAACATACACTGCATATGTTAAAAGAGTTCTGTGTTAATGATGGGGGTCTAAGCAGGTGATGCTGCTTGCCTAGATTTGACATCTCTCAATCGAGTTTCTTAGTATATCCCATACTGCTTCTAATATATCAACAAAATTTTGTGGTTTCTAATTAGTGCCTCTACCAGACAGATGAAATAATAATAGTTTTAAGGATAATACAGTTTAGCCTAGATTTTTTTAAAAAAAGAACGATAGTGAGCTCCATTCTTTTCTGATACTGGGCTCACACTGCTAATTGGGGATTTCATCAATATCTCTTGCTAAATGTAACAGCTTCCCATTTCTACAGAACAAATGCCAACATTCTCTCTCTCTCTCTCTCTCCCCCCTCTCTCTCTCCCTCTCCCTCTCCCTCCCTCCCTCTCCCTCTCCCTCTCTTTTTTTCTCTATGTATGTGTGTGTGTGTGTGAGAGAGAGAAAGAGAGAGAGAGAAAAAAGGGTGACGATGATTTACTTGATTTACCCAACAGAATCAGTATGGGCTGATCTACAATATATATATACTCTGTGTGTGTGTGTGTGTGTGTGTATACACACACACACACATACATACATACACGCTATATATACTGTGTATATACTGTATATATACATATATGTTTGTGTGTGTGCGTGTGTGTTAGTATTCTTTGTTAGCAACCTAAATATATATATATATATTTAGGTTGCTAACAAAGAATAAAGAGAGAATGGTATAGCTATTTCGAGTTCCTTTAACTCTCTTCAGCCAAACTTACTCTTCTGAGATTCGAACCTGGGCTATCTGCATGTTAGGCAGTTGTTATAACCTCTAAGCCACAGGCTCTCCTCACTTTGTTAGCTGTATATATATACTGTGTATACTGTAATTATATATATATATACCATATATATAGTGACTTTAGACCAATACTCTCTCTCATCCCACCTCACCTCACAGGGTTCTTGTTGAGAGGAAAATAGAAAGAGGAAGGAGTATTATGCATGTTTGCCACCTTGAGTTACTTATAAAGTTATATATATATTCCTCTCAACAAGAACCCTGTGAGGTGAGGTGGGATGAGAGAGAGTATTGGTCTAAAGTCACTTAGCTGGCTTTCATGCCTAAGGAAGAACTAGAACTCACAATCTCCTGGTTTCTAGGCCAACCCCTTAACTACTACACCAAACAGGCTCTGTTTCTTTACCAGGTTGTCTGGTACTAAATTGCTTGTTTCAGAGCTGGTTTTCTCTGTATAATTAAATTATGAAAGCTGATGTTAGATGTTGTCCATGGTATGACAATATAAAGCATCTACATATTGATCTGTGCTAGGAAAGCAAGAATACTAGCAATTGTTTCATTTTTTTTTCAATGGGGCATGCTTGAGCCCTCAGGCAACCAGTATCCATTCATTTGGTTTGCTGGAATGCATGCCAGAAATTTTTTCATCTCAGCATTTTTCTCATTGTAAAGTCTCTTGTCCATCTTTTCCTGTCAGATTTTGGAAAGTTGACAAGTTTAACACAGAAATAAAATAGGTCTGACTGGCTATAGATATAACAGGTGAGCTTTCTGTGCCGGGAACATTACATATTCGCTTTGTTTTTGTGACTGATGATAGTTTTCTGGCCCAGAAATATAATTTTATTCTTTCAAACCCAAGAGGATATTGGAAAGTAAATATGCAAAGGGGCCCTCCAATTGATTTTCTGTCTATCCATCAGGAGTATTATTCTCCAAAAACTGAACAGAACAGAATAGGTACTGGTGTACCTAGGAAAAGCCAGTTAAAGAATGATCAAGATAAACCACAGGCCAAAAATGAAGCTGGGGACTGCTGAGAAAAACTGCTGGAAAAATTCCTTCAATGTATCCTTGAGGGAGACATTGCAGTAGCTTGTTACCAACTCCTCCATTCTAAGTACCCCTCCCCACCCACACACAACTTGTCCTGTGCTTTCCAGTTGGTGTGTACAAATGCAGAAGCAACATAACAGGAAAGCATGAACGCGCACATACGTGTTACTTGATTGCATAGTATCAAATCTTTACCTACCATCATTCTAATGGCATTCAAAGTATTCAAGAAAGCTATGCCCTGCATCCTTTCTATAACTTGCTTTTAAAAGTGGTAAAGCTCATCTTAGTAATCCTCCATTTACATAAAAATCACAATGACCTTTCAGGATTATGTGCTCTATAAGTGTTCTGTACACTACACAGCAATAATTAGTTACCAGGATCTCTGCATCTGGGGACTCAGCCATAGGCCTTTTGAAAACTGATACGGGAACAAGTGCTGCCAAACCCCAATCGCTTCCCCCCCCCATATAATCAGAGGGGTTGTGTCACTGGCAATTCTGCTAATCGCTCCTGTTGTTGCCATCTGTTGCCAATGCAGTTGCCATGCTGGCGCTCAGTTGCTAGGTTTCACTTGGAGCTGGTGTGGGAGTTGTGCTGAAGCCTCTTATTTACTGGGAAACTTGGGGGGGGGGGGAATAGAGAAGAAGCAACTGCATTTACCTGGGAGTGAAGGGCGATCGCTTGTTCTTGAGAATAAGAGTAACGAAGGAGTTGGGAGAGAAAATGAGAGTGGGGCCAGGCTCATCAACAACACATAAGGAACAAAACTTTGGTAGGACCTGAGTTCCTCTCCAGCTTATCCTTCTCTGAACTGATGGGAAGGCTGCCAGAATTCGCCTAAGCCAAGCTGGCTGTGAAGTCCAGGCCTTACAGCAACTCTGCAAGACTGCACTTGCCCGAAAAAGCTCTGTTTTTGGACTTCTCTCCTACATGATTAGGCACGCCTTGAGGCAGTGAAGAAAGATGATGCTCATGTCATCTTTTTTCTTGCTGTGTCATGGTGAAATATGGCTTTGAAGCTCCTTTTCAAGATACTGTCCATGAGATCTTTCTGAGTGGACCCTCCCTTCTTCCTACTGATTCTACTTAATATTTCCTACCACCACCTACCAGAAAGATCGGGAAAGGGGAAAGTAGATAGAGGTGACCATCGCTCTTCTTTGGTCTTTCCATTGCTTTCTAAAAGAGGGCAGTTGAGATAAGGAGAACATGAGGCCAAATTACAAGTGTCAGGGACTGGAATAGGTTTTTTTTTTTTAAATGGATATACAAGTCTTTTCATATGTGATATATTCCAGATCGGGATTCTGGGATGGATAAAGATTTATGCTTTTAGTCTGTAGATACTGTGATGCACAATCAACCTATCTCTACTAGCTTAAGATCTCTGATAAGATTGAAGCCTGGGAAATGGGCCCCTTGTCAGATAACAGGAGTGCTGATTTACCAAAAGCTTATCAGGAGCCAAGAGTTTGGCACCCCAAGGAAACAACAGCCAATTGCTGGCCATCAACAGACAAATCAACCAATAGGAAGGCACAACATAAACACAATTCATAGAATAGCCCAGAGCACATATTCCAGTAGAGAGAAGTTCCCTGAAGATGGGCTCCAGCACAAATCCGAAAGCTCAGAAGACAAAACCTCTGGTCTTGGTGACCGACATAGATTGGATCTTACAACTTTATCCTGGGATCCTATATTTGCCTTCATTCATAAGATCTCTCCCTCTTCCTCTCCCTCTCCCCATCCATCCATCCATCCATCCATCCATTCATCCATCTTTATCATATTCAGAGCAGCAAATCAGCTGGTTAGCACAGAGTAGAACAATTTATCCAGAGATCCAACGTAAATCTTCAATTTTCTGTGGAATCTTTTACCTGATAAACATCCAAAACTATTGCCGTTCTTCATAAGGAAGCATCACATACCCAAGGTTAATGATTGTTGATTCCTAAAGGAAGACGTTCTGTTGATACTGTATAAAGAACTGTGGCAGGTGAAATAAACTCTCAGTCCTCTTGTGGATAGCAATGGGGCATGGCTCTGGGATCTTCTAGAATCGCCCCTTACAAATCTATCTGAAAGGCTATTTTCAACTACGGTATTCCAAGACCACCCATCATAATTGCTTGTCAAAGATGACTGTCCAGAATAAAGCAAAACCAGGGGCAATGATGATGACAGATGATGACACAGATCAAACTCAAAACAAGGTTAAAAATCTTTATTTTCAACATTTCAAATATAACTGCTTTTTCAGCATGTATGAAGCTTACTAAAATGCTTTGTTAGTTAGTTGTCATCTAACACAGAATTAAAGGGAAGCAGGAACCACTTGAGAAACCTGGCCTTTTCTGTACTGTATTATCATTCAAGGAGTTCCCAGAAGGCTTATACATGAACCACATGAAGGAAGCAGCACCAGGATGGGTGCTGGCCTGAGTATGGAGCCCTTTGTGTAATCCTTCTGTGCCCTTTCAACGCCTGAAGGAAGGGCAGCTTTCCTCTACGTGCATGTCCTTGTACTATACTATCTTGGGTAGCTGTTGCTAGCAGAGATGCTATCTCAGTATGGAACAGCGTGTAGCCATGTGAGAATTTCTCACTGGGTATAGTTTGTTTTCTAACCTGCCTTTTGAGTTATGCACATTTGTACTATATATCCATCTCTCTCCTCTCCATCACTTGTAATTCCCTGTCCTTGAGCATCTTGCTTTCTCCATGATCTTAGATGGTGCTGCTGGCAGATTCCCCCTCCCTCCCTCTTTCTTCCTTTCCATGTGTATGCACAGGCAACTTGACTGCCATGTGCTGTGTGGGTGTGATACACTCTCAGCCTTCCTCATGTGGTACGGCTGCCGGCTCGTGCCGTTGCTAGATGTGCCAGCAACCAAGATGATGTTTGAATGTTTGAAGCAGGGAGATGCCAGCCGGCTTCAAGTCTGCGAGAGGCAAAACCTGCTCCTGGTTGAATATAACACAGTCTCTTGTTCTAGTCGGAGTATCATGGAACCAGGGGCGTGGACTAGGCAAGGCTACTGGGTCCCCTCGATGTACCACAGTATGGCTGGGCAGTACACGTGAGTGCTAAAATCTTGGGGAGGGAGCTGACTGAACAGCAGGGGGCTCTGCAAACCTACCAAGAAGGGAGAGAGGTTGGGCTGATTTGATGGGAGCATTTGGTGAGATGGAAGCCAGGAATGATTCTACGAGTCCAACAATGAGATGCTAAGAAGTTCCAGAATAGAATAGAATAGAATGGAATGGAATGGAATAGAATAGAATAGAATAGAATAGAATAGAATAGAATAGAATAGAATAGAATAACAGAATAGAATAGAATAACAGAATAGAATAGAACTGAATAACAGAATAGAATAGAATAGAATAGAATAGAATAACAGAACAGAATAGAACAGAATAACAGAATAGACTAGAATAGAATAGAATAACAGAATAGAATAGAACAGAATAACAGAATAGAATAGAATAACAGAATAGAATAGAATAGAATAGAATAGAATAGAATAGAATAGGTTTTATTGGCCAGGTGTCACTCATGTAACCTTTTCCTGAATAACTTTATGTATACAACATTAGGAAAGGAAAGGCAGCATAGGTTGTGGACTAAGAAGGAGAGAATAAAGCAGGCTAAAGCCGGGTTGGCATTTGAATTGGGGTTTGTGAGCTCATAGCATATCTTCTTAACTACTACCCTTCAGCTGTGCCAGAGAAGAACTGCTCCTATTATGTAGGATTGCGCTGGAGCAGTTTTTTTTTTTAAATTCCTGACAAGGTAGATAGTTTTTGATCGTAAGTGAAAAATGGAAATTCTAGCTTGCTTAAATCCATAGTGTAGCTATGTAGTGACCCAAAAAAGGAGGTAAGGTTTGTTTCTGCATATGTTCAGATGCACTATTCTTTATTGCTTCACTTCAGCTGAAGCTGAATCCTAGATTAGAGATGCATGGCTGATGCATGGGGCTGGAAAAGGGAGATGGACTCAGATTCAAATCACTAAATTTGGATCAGGTTATTGCCTTCTGCAGGCTGGCAATAGTAAGATTCAAGAACGGTAGACCATCTTTGCAGAAAGATCTGCCGATGAAATAAATAGCAGTAATTGAACTTGAGAATTATTTCCCATCCCAGCCAGCTAGCTTACTAATGACTCCTGAATCTCCTCATTCAAAAATACCAGGTTGATGGAGATTTAAGATGATGGCATATTCATGTGAATCAATACAGGGATTAAATTTAGCTCATCCCTCCTACTGGCTAGTTGCCAAGTCCTCTCTTTTAAGCAGGGGCAGTTCTAATGACAGAAGAGGATCAGTGTCTGGACTGAAATGCGTTGCTGCTGAGTTCTGTGGTGTATTAGAGATGGATAAAATTCAGGAGAACTGAAGAAGCTGGTGAAACCTAGTGGTGGACTGGCAGAAGAAGTGATTATACCTAGGATTGCTAGGTAAAAGAGGAAAGGTCAAGAGGGTAGGGCACTGACAAATGGTCAGTGTCAGGGCTGCATGTACTGTATATATAGCACAAACCCAAAATACTGTAGTTTACAACTATGATACATGTAGAGCAGTGATAGCGAAACTTTTAGAGACCGAGAGCCCAAACTGCAACCCAAAACCCACTTATGCATTGTTGGGTGCCGGGTGGGTGTGGCCCATTGGGTGGACGGGGCTGCGGTGGTAATGGCAGACTGGGGGGACTAAAAAGTTCAATCAATCAATTCCAATTTTGCAAAATCTTTTTTTTTCCCCTGCGAGAAGTTGAAATTGACTGATTTGATTGAACCTTTTTTTTTTTTTTTTTGCACACGGCGGCGGAGGCTTATAGCGAAAAGGTTTTATAAAACCCAGCTGAAGGCCTAGGACTGGGGCGATGGCGCGGGTGCCCATAGAGAGGGCTCTGAGTGCTGCCTCTGACACCCGTGCCATAGGTTCGCTGATATAGAGCATACGGGCTGGATTAGGAAGAGGATGAATGTTGTGGCTGGGCAGAATTGGTCTGGAAAGCAAATATTTGAAGTAAGGAATCTCTGATTCAAATTTCATTTCTGCTGGCAGCATAGAATGGCCTTAAATAATCCCTTACTTTTAGTTCTGCTTTCTGCAAACATTGCTAGTATTATCATCACCATGGATATCCATAAGGCTATAAGAATTATAAATATAAAAAAAATGCTTTCAAGAAGAAGGGACATATTTTTACTTTTATTACACTCCTATCTTGATGCGGCAATCCAAAAGAATCTCCAGGGAAGGTGGATTCAGCTGATATACATGGCCAGGTTGAGCCAGGATATGGGTCGTTAACCATTACTTGAAGATGAAAACATAAAATGCCAGCCTCCACCTAACCACAGTCCACACAAAGGGATCTTCCTCCTACTATTCTTATTTTGCATCAAAAGTAAACTTTTAACTTGTGCCAACCTATGTGGGCTGTCCAGTTCTTCTTTTGATCTAAGTCAATGCCTCCATTCCAATTGGTGAGTATCCACCAGTGCAGGAATGCCCCACTCCTTGACTATGGCCCCCACAGTTCCCCATTGTTTCACACTGCCCCCCCCTATTTAACAACTTCATTGACAGAACAGTAACAACGTGGATCTTTTTTCTTTTTATTTTGGGACCAGCTGAAATTGGTAACAGTCTTTCTTTCCCTTCTCTTCCCTCCTCCTTGATAGATGCACCAGATGGAAAGGTGTTAAGTACAAGGGGAAGTCAATGGAGGGAGATTCATATGAAAGGTTTATTACGTCTTCCAAAGACAACCCGCCCACTCATGGAAATGAAGGCAATTGGTGCTTGCTTTCCAGCACAATTAGAAGGAGTAAAAAAAAAAAAAATAGAGGTCCATCAGTAAGCATGGTCCAGACAGAGCACACCAGCCATCACCTGGATCAAAGCAGAGGAAGGGCTGAAATCCAAAAAGTGTTTTCTTAAGCCAGCTTCATTTCCAGCCAGTTTATACGTAGGAGCCAAATGCATTAAGATTGCAATGTGGGAAAGTCACTGAAATAGAAAGTACTTCATTGTAGCAAATGCTAGTACAGTGGTGGCGAACCTATGGCACGGATGCCAGAGGCGGCACTCAGAGTCCTCTCTGTGGGCACGCGCGCTGTCGCCCCAGTCCTAGGCCTTCAGCTGGGTTTTATAAAACCTTTTCACTTTAGGCGTCCGCCGCCATGTACAAAAAAAAAAAAAGGTTCAATCAATCAATTTCAATTTCTCATGGGAAATGCCCATCCAATGTGCCACACTCCCCCTAATTGGCCACACCCAGCCAATGGGCCATGCCCACCCAGCACCTGTTGATGCATAAGTGGGTTTTGGGTTGCAGTTTGGGCATTCGGTCTCTAAAAGGTTCGCCATCATTGTGCTAGTATTTACCGTGATAAATGTCAAATACAGAAACTCACATTTATGTGTAATGGTCAGATCTGAAGCAAGTTGGGTATCTTAAAAACATAATTCTGCATGCTTAGCAGATTAATTAACGATGGAACATTAACAATGGAGAATGGAGATTGGAAGACTTGGGATTGCTGCAACTCTCCTATGCCTAGAAATTATCTCTTTTATATTCTCATTAGCCTCCTCCATCAGCACTCCTTGAAAATGTAGACCAGTGGTTCTCAACCTGTGGGTCGGGACCCCATTTGGGGTCAAATGACCATTTCACGGGGGTCGCCAAACCATGCTGTCCGCCATTTTTTTTCCTTTTTCCTAGCTGTCCTACTCCCTCTTACTGGTGGCCACACCCCCTTGGGGGTCACCACAACATGGGGAACTGTATTATGGGGTCACGGCATTAGAAAGGTTGAGAATCACTGATGTAGACGTTTGGAAACACACAAGTTTCAAATAATCTTAAGTCACTTCCGATGGCAAGGTAACTGGGGATAAAAGGATGTTTTTAACTATTACAAATGGAACGATAGGAAAGAGCACAGAGGGGGAATTCTAGTCAGAACTGCAGTACAGCAATCCAGCTGGGTGTTGTGCTGGATATCAGTTGGTGCTCCATAATCAGTTCTTTAAAAATAACATGAAAAGCTCAACCTGAACATAATTCTCAATTGTAGAACATCTGCTTTGCACACAGATTGACTCCTTGGTATCTTCTCAGGGAGGACTGGAATTTTTGCCTACAGCAGTGGTTCTCAACCTTTCTAATGCCGCGACCCCCAACCGGTCGTAAGTCGAGGACTACTCAACCGGTCGTAAGTCGAGGACTACTCAACTGGTGCAGCACCGTTTGCAGAATGGGACTTTTGACGTGCTCAGCAGGGCAGAGACAGCCTAGACAATTCCTATTGGCTTTTGAAAGCCAATAGAATTAGACTCTATTCAAGAGAGTCTATTCTATTGGCTTTCAAAAGCCAACAGAATAAAAGGGAGTAGCACAGCTAAGGAAAAGGGGAAAAAAAATGGCAGACTGCGTTGTTTGGCAACCCCTGTGAAATGGTCGTCCGACCCCACATGGGGTCCCGACCCACAGGTTGAGAACCACTGGCCTACAGTCTTAGAATGAAGTTGGCAGACCACTGAGCTAACCTCGACTAGTGGCTGATCAGCAAATGGTCCGCCACAATTTCTAACTTCATTGTCCCTTCTTAACAGAAGCGTGGCTAAAAGGCCAGGCTAAAAGAGTGTCAAAAGAAAGAGGACAAACTCTGAGCTGCATTAAAAATGGGGCCAAAAATGGTGCTTGATACCGGTAGCTACGGTATACTGTGCCAAGAGAGCCAGCAAAGACTACAGTTTCTTGATGGACTTTCTGCCGGAGTCTCATTGTCTATTTCTCTGTCTTTTGCAGCCTCTTGGAGAAGCAAGTCATGTCTGACGTTTCACCTTGCCACCATTGTCCCAGTTTCCATGTGCTTCGGGATTCAACCAACTGGCATGATGCCCAATTTCCAGCTGGCTACAGCCCTCTGAAGCAGGAAGGCCACTGGTTTCCCAGGAAGGGGTGGGGGAAGAGAACAGCCTCTTCCCCAAAGGCCCTATGGCACCATAGCCCTTCTTATGACGGGTACAATCCAGTTTACCAAAGGGACATGCACTGGGGAGCCAGCCACACAGACAAGGGTGATCCCAAAGCCCCGGCACCTGGAGGTTCGTTGGTCAGCTATAGATGGAATCAAGGAGCCTCTGCCAAAAACAGGAAGGAGCTCCCTGCCAGGGCACCTCCAAGCTATGAAGCTCACATGCTTCTGCGCCTGCGGGCACAACAGGGCCCACGCAAAGAAAACTGGCCTTGTCCTCCACCTTACCTTCCTCCTCCCTCCTACGAGGCTTCCCACCATAGAGTGCAGCCCCAGAAACAGGCAGGCAAGTCAGATTCAGCAGAGAAGCTTATCCAAACTGGAGCTGCTAAGAAATACCGAGAGAGAGAAGCAGGCTGTGAGTCAGAGCCCTTGCTTCACACGCCTGGGAGGAAGGCAGGCAAGTGGCAGACTAAAATGCCAGGCAGCTGGAGCTATCTTTCAGGGGCCAGAACATGGGGTGGGCCAAGGATGCAGCAGGAGAAGACCAAGTCCCCGTCCCATTTGGCCTCTGACTGGGATATTAGTCCCCAACACCGAAGTTACACCCTCCCTCGGGTAAATAAGAGGCACCAAGTCATGCCAGTGCCCTGCCATCCCTCCCAACACAGCCTTCCTGCTGGATGGGGCTTTAGCCATGCAGCCGGTTGGTGTAGATCCAAGCGGGGTGGGAGCAGAGCAAAAGAGAAACATTGCCAAGAGTTTTTCCCCAGGTGGAAGGAACCAAGCCCTTCCAGGAAACTTGCAGGGAGTCAGCCAGCTTTGTCCAAGTCCATGCCCCGAAGGCATGGGGGTCTATTTGTAATTGATGCCACCTGCGTGGTGATCCAGGCTCACTACATTCCATCACCCCAAATGGAGCAGGTCTGCTACCTGGCTCACGGAGAAGCAGGTACTATAAAACCCCACACATCTCCTGGCTCTCCAGGCCCAAACCTAATGGAGGAACGGGCTGCTCGTATACTGGGCCTCCCCTTGCATGAGTTGGAAGTCACAGAGGCAGGGCAGGGAATTAATACATCCAAGATCCCCAAACTGGAGAACGGTGCTATACCTGGGGACAGTTCTAGAAGAGAGGAGGTAAAGAGGGTGCCTTCTGCTCCAGACAGTCCTAGGAAAACTTCTGGACCTCCAACCCCAAACCATTCCCAGGTTAGGCCTGCAGAGCAGGAGCCAACCTACCTGGAGGGGAAAGGGACTGCAGCATCCCCTTGTCCAAGAAGCCACGGCCTACCACGAAGGAAAGAAAAGCCAGGGATTTCTGCCCAAAACCAGTCCTATATTTGCGATCTGAAGGAAGCCATGTTGAGGATCCGCCGGCACACAGCCCCAGATTCAGACACAGATGAGGAGCTAGAGAAGGAGTGCCAGCCCGCCTGTGAGCGACCCTCATGGGGAGAAAGGTTGAACCAAGAGGTGTTCATGTGCAGAAGCAGCAGCAGCAGCCTTGACAGTAGCAGCTCCAATGCCACAGTAGTGCCAGGAAATGCCACTACTGCCTGGAGACCCAGGCTAGAAACTCCGAGGGCAACTGCAAGCAGGGAGGGGTCAGGTCCAGCCAAGGAATGAAGACTGCAGAGAAATGAAGCTCCAACACAGCTTACATCAGTGATGGTGAACCTTTTGGACTGCGTGTGTCAAAAATTCAGCGAATGCCTAACTGGCATGTCACTTCCCCCCTCCCAAACAATTCTCTATTTCCTCCCCGCCCATCTAGGCCACTTTGAAGAGCAGCCCTCAGCAGCAACACCAAGGCTGGACCTGAACCTAGGTCTCAACTTCACTCCTAGGGCAATTGTTGCCCCTCAAAAAGGTTGCCTTGTGCCATTTCCCAGGGCATGCTAGCCTATAGTAATGGTGCAATTGCCCCTGTGGCCCAACCAGGGCTTTTTTTTCTCATAGAACGCCCAGAACGGAGTTCTGGCACCTTTTTTGGGTAGAACCTTGTAGGGTAGGCAAGGCGGGTTGTATGACATGTGTGAGTTCCAGCACCTTTTAGCACTGGGCCCAGCACTTCCCAGGGTTTGCTGTACACTGCTTACTTTCAGGCAGACTTTTCTTTCTGTTGACAGGCCCATGCGCCTCCCGAAGGCTGCTTTGGGTCGTACAAGGCCTTCATTTTTGAAGCAGCTACAGAAAATGCTCTTGTGCAGCCTCTGCAGGCTCCAAAACAGCATTCCTATTCTCCCACAATTTCTGGAGGCTCCACAGGCCGCATGAGGGCACACCCCATTCTCGTATGTCCTCCACAGCCACCGAAAATGCCACAAGAACAAGGCATGCTTTTGAGAATATTTGCTGTGAGGTGTTGATGAATGATGGTGTGTCAGCCAAAACATTGTGGTGTGTCATAGGTCCACAATCACTGATGTGGACCTTTTCCTTCCAACCCAGCTCCCTCTCCAAAGTGCCTAGTGTCCCCACACCTCTATCTTCCTTCCTGCATCCTTTCTGGCAGCTCAGGGACACCACTGCAATCTTCCCCCTGTCCCCCAAGGGTTAGGACAACAACTCAACAGCCAGATTTTGGCTCTGCTGCTTGGGAATTCTGGAGGTCCCGCTACCAATATCATAGGCAGGAAGTGAGTTTCCAATAAGCTGTGTCCCTCTGCTCCGGTAAGGAAGGAAGTATCAGAGTCCTTGCCTCAGTATTCTGCTTGTTTTGTAGCACAACGGCTAAGAATGGAACCTCCACTGATAGTAAGCCTCCAATTGATGAATACTAGGGACAACCCATAGGAATAATCACCCTCGGTGTAATACCTGGAACACCGATCTTCTCAGGATCTTCCCGGTCTGGCCTTAGCAGAAGACAAGAGAGATCCCAGAAAGGAACAGAGATGCTCAGGTGAGCATCGACTTTCACTATGTAGCTAAGAGACCTCCAGGAGGGAAAAGAGCTGTCAGGACTTTACTGCTTTGCAATGTCTGTAGAGTTATTGCTAGAGAAGCTGTACGTGACAGGCCTTTGGGAGTGTTATTAGTATTGTTCTTCTTAAAATTGAATACAAATATCTGTAATAAAATTCTGTGCAACCAAATACACTGAGTAATACATTCTCTGTTTGGTCACACATTTGGGGCTTAACTATGTAACTTTTTATGTTATGTTATGCTATGTTATGTTATGTTGTTATGTTATGTTATGTTATGGTGCTGGTTGCTGTTATGTTTGTTATGTTATGTTATGTTATTATTTATTTATTTATTCAATTTCTATAGCGGCCCAACTCATCTAAGTGACTGTGGATTCAAATCTAAGGTCAGGATTAGGCTACGATGAATCAGAATACGGGCTGCCTGCAAATGAACTTTATGTACTATATTCCAGCATATAAAACAGGACTTCTTTTCAACCAGACCACATCTCACCTATTATCCGTGGAGAAATACTTTCTCCCTTTCCCGAAAATTGGCCTTATCAGGTGCCTGGGGAAGAAAATTCCCCGATGCTGGGGTCAGGGATGCAAAACTTTGTTGAACTTGAGTGCAAAAACGGATGCTGGGACAAGATTCGGGGTGGATTTTCGTGCATAAATGTGCTGGTTTATGTTTTTTAAAATTGACCATTTCTGGTCTCCATGAAAGAAAACTCCTCATGCCAGGGTTAGGCATGTGGAGGGCTGGGGGGGGGAATTATTTTAGAAACCCAAATGCAAAAATGAATGCCAAGATGGCATTTGGGGTAGAATTTCATGCTTAAAAATGGTGCTGGTTACTGTTTTTAAAATGCGACCATATCATGTGCCCAAGGAAGAAAATTCCCGATGCTGGGCTCAGGGATGCAGGTTGCTGGGAGGTCAAGTTTTTTTCCCCAACCCAAACAGAAAAAAGGACCCCAGAATGAGATTCGGAGTGGAATTTCATGCTTACAAATTGTGCTGGCTACTGTTTTTTAAAAGTTGACCATATCCAATGCCTGGGGTAGAAAATTCCTGATTCCAGGGTCAGGGACATGGATAGTAGGAAGCCAATTTTTTTTCAGCGTAAAGGCAGAAACAGACACCAGGATGACATTTGGGGTGCAATTTCATGCTTAAAAATGTGCTGGTTGCTGGTTTTTAAAATAGCATTAGCACTAGCAATAGCACTTATATATACCACTTCATAGTACTTTACAATCTTCTCTAAGCGTTTTACAGAGTCGGCCTATTGCCACCAACAATCTGGGTCCTCATCTTACCGACCTCGGAAAGATGGAAGGCTGAGTCAACTTTGAGCCGTTCAGAATCAAACTGCTGGCAGTCAGCAGAGTTAGTCTGCAATACTGCATTCTAACCACTGCACCACCACCAAATCGACCATATCTGGTGCCCAGGGAAGAAAATTCTGGATGCCAGGATCATGTACTTGTGTTGCTGGGAAAACAAAATCTTATTCAACACAAACACAGAAACAGACACTGGTAAGACATTTGGGGTGGAATTTCATGCTTAAAAATGATGCTGGTTGCTGCTTTTGAAAAATCAAAGATATCTGGTGCTCGGGCAAGAAAATTCGTATTTCCAGGTTCAGGCAAGCTGATGGCTGTAAGGCAAAAAGGGATGCTGGGATGAGATTTCATGCTTAAAAACACTACTAGTTGCTGTTTTTTTAAAGTAGTATACTGGGTGCCAGGGAAAGAAAATTCCTGACTCCAGGGTCAGTGAAGCAAATGCCCAGGAGGCCAAAATTGTATTCAGCAGATGAAGGGAAAACATTGAGGGTGGCATTTCATGTTAAAAATTGTGCTGGTTGCTGTTTTTAAAAATTGGCCATATTGGATGCCCGAAGAAGAAAATGCTCCAAAATCCATTGACGATGTCCATTTTGCTCTCCGAAAGTGGATTTGCCCTCCAAATGGGATTTTCTCATGTATTTTACCAAGAAAAATAGGTAAACTGTACTCAAAAACTCAGCACCCTCTTAAGCATAACCATGCGTTCCAAATCTGTTGGCAATGTCCATTTTGTTCTGTGAATTCATGAAGATCTAACCCTAACTCTAACCCATTTGGATTTGGCCCCAATGGAATTTTCCCATGTATTTTACCAGGAAAAGTAGATAAAGCAAGTTTGAAAAGTCACCCCCCCCCCCCAAAGCATACATATGCATTCCAAATCCATTGTGCATTTCACTCTCTGAACTCATGGAGACCTAAATCCTAAATCCAGACGGATTTCTCTACAATGGCATTTTTCCATGTATTTTACCAGGAAACATAGATAAGAAAGGTTTGAAAACTCAGTGCTCTTATAAGCATAACCAGGCACTCTGAATCTGTTGACAAGGTCCATTTTGCTCTCTGAACTCTCTGAACACCATCCTAACTCTAGAAGTATTTGCCCATCAATGGGATTTTCCCCATGTATTTTATCAAAAAATATAGATAAAGCTCACTCAAAAAGTCAGCACCCTCATAAGCATATTCATGTGCTACAAATCTGTTGGTGACATCTGTTTGGCTCTCTGAATTCATGGAAACCTAACCTTTTCCCTACCTGGATTTGCCCCCCCCCCATGGGATTGTCCCCATGTATTTTAATGGGAAATGTAAATAAGGCAGGCTAAAAAGTGAGCACATTGATCCATGAGAAAATACATGGGAAAATCTCTTTATGGGGTGAATCCATCTAGGGTTAGGGTTAGGTCTCTATGAATTCGTATAAGAAAATGGACATCACCAATGGATTCAAAGCACATGATTATGGTTAGGAGGGCGCTGATTATTGAGCCTCCTTTATGTACATTTCCTGGTAAAATACATGGGCATATTCCATTGGGGAGCAAATACACCTATGGTTAGCAATAGGTTTCCATTAATTTGGATAGCAAAATGGACATTCCCAATGGATTCGGAGTGCAAGATTACGCATAGCAGCATGCTGATTTTTCGAGCCTACCTCATCTACGCTTCCTGGTAAAATACAGGGGAAAATCCCATTGGGTGCAAATCCACCTAGGATTATAGTTAGGTCTCTATGAATTCGAAGAGCAAAATGAACATCACCAATGAATTTGGAGTGCATGAACATCACCAATGAATTTGGAGTGCGTGCATCACCAATGAATTTGGAATGTAATTAGGAGGGCACTGACTTTTCGCGCCTATCTTATCTATGTTTCCTAGTAAATTACATAGGAAAATCCCACTGGAGGCAAATCCATCTAGGGCTAGGGTTAGATCTCCATGAATTCTGACAGCAAAATGGACATTGCCAATGGATTCGGAGTGCAGGGTTATGGTTAGGAGGGTGCTGACTTATCTACGTTTCTGGGTAAATTACATGGGAAAATCCCACTGGGGGCAAATCCACCAAGGTTTAGGGTTAGGTCTCTGGAATTCAGAGAGAAAAATGGACATTGCCAACAGATTTGGAGTGCGTGGTTACACTTAGGGGTGCGGTGACTTCAAGCCTGCCTTATCTATGTTTCCTAGAAAAATATATGGGAAAATCCCTTTGGAGGGCAAATCCTACTAGGGCTAGATTTAAGTCTCTATGAATTCAAAGAGAAAAGTAGACACGGGCAATGGATTCGGAGAGTTACGTTTAGGAGGGTGCTGACTTTTCAAGTTTGTCTTATGTAGATTCCCTTGTAAATTACATGGGAAAATCCCTTTGGGATTAGGTTTAACTAGAATTAGGGTTAGCTCTTTATGAATTTGGCTAGCAAAATGGGCATCGCCAATGGATTCGACACTGATTTTTTCTTTTTTTTCTTTTCCTTTTTCTTTTCCATTTTCTTTTTTCTTTTCTGTTTTCCTTTTTCTTTTTCCGTTTTCTTTTTCTTTTTCCCTTTTTTTTCCTTTTCCCTTTTTTCTTTTTCTTATTAATTTTTTCTTTTTCATTATTTTTTTCTTTTTCTTTTTTTCTTTTTTCTTTTTCTTTTTCTAATTTTTTTTCTTTTTTCTTTTTCCCTTTTCTCTGTTTTCTATTTTTTCTTTTGTTTTTTCATTTTTTTCTTTTTTTTCTGTTTTTTCTTTTCTTCTTTTTCTTTGTTTTTTCTTCCTTTTTCTTTTTCTTTTTTCTTTTTTATCTTTTTTCCTTTTTTCTTTTGATTTCCTTTTTCTTTTCCTTTTCTTCTTTTTTCTTTTTCTTTTTCTATTTGTGTTTTCATTTTTTTTCTTTTTTTGATTCTCCCCTTTCTGTTTTTCCAATATCTTTTTCTTATTTTTTTTCTTTTTTCCTTTTCCTTTTTATTCCTCTTTCTCTTTTTTCTTCTTGTTCTTGTTTTTTCCTTTTCCTTTTTTCTTTTTTTCTTTCCATATCTTTTTTCTTTTCTTCTTTTTCTTTTTCCCTTTCTCTTTTCCTTTTTCCTTTTTATTCCTCTTTCTCTTTTTTCTTCTTGTTCTTGTTCTTTTTCCTTCTTCTTTTAATTTTTCTTTCTTTTTCTTCTTTTTTCTTTTTCTTTTTATTCCTTTCTTTTTCTTTTTCATTTTTCAAATCCTTTTTCTTTTTCCTTTCCCTTTTTATTCCTCTTTTTCTTTTTCTTTTCTTTTCCTCTTTCTTCCTTTTCTTTTTTCTTTTTTGTTTTTCTTTGTTTTTTCTTCCATTTTCCTTTTCCTTTTTTCTTTTTCTTTTCCATTTCCTTTTCCTTTTTCCTTTTCCCTTTTTTATTCATCTTTGTTCTTTTTTCCTTTCTTTTTTCCTTTTTTATTTTTCTTTGTTCTTTTTCTGATTTTCTTTTTCTTTTTCTTTGTTTTTCTTTTTCTTTTTTTTCCTTTTTTCTTTTTCCCTTTTTCTATTTGTTTTTCCTTTTTCTTTTTTTCCTATTTTTTCTTTTTTTCTTCTTTTCCTTTTCCTTTTTTTCTTTTTTCCTGTTTCCTTTTAATTTTTCTATTTTTCTTTGACTGTTTAGGCTTAAACACTCCTTTATGCAACTGTATTTTTGATTTTCTTATCAATAGGCCCCAATATGTGCGAGTTGGAACAAGTACCTCTAATACCATTGTCTTGAGCACAGGTTCTCCTCAGGGCTG